TTGTGTTCAATCGTTTGCGGGTATATTGCACTGGTACCCATATCTTTGAATGTTACGGGAAGACGTTCACCATCCTAAAATCGAGAAAGAGTAAGGTACCAAAAATCTCAGAATAACCGAATTTCGGGTTGACATGTGCTGATAGTTGCAACTGAACGTCGAGCGTCAAGCGCAGGAGAGTACAAACAACAAAATAACCAAGCGAATAATACTTTCAGGTATCAAAATCGCAACTGGGCGGAACTGACCGCTAGGTCCATTAGATGAGTGTCTATATAATATAACCCATATCTTTGCATAACTCATTAACTCGTGATTCTCACTCTATTTTCAGCTCATGTACTACAGTTATTAGACGAGCGTACATTCAGTTATTAGACGGTTAAAGCGTACATTACATCTTCCGATTAGGTCTCCCTTCTAATCTCGTCCTGGAACTACTCGACTCTCGCAACACCTGTACAATTGGCTTCCCATCTTGTACATTGCTGAATGAAAATGACCCTGTGAAACAGCCTAACCTGTGGCCTACAAAGCACATGTCTTATCTACCATAGTCTATGGAGGATGGCAGATCAATCTACCGTTGACGAATCTCTTCTGCTGGAGGCCGTTCGGATTGACATTGGTGATTCATTTTCCCAGCCGCACACCTACAACGCTTTGATAACACTAATGGGCAAGCACAGAAAGTCTGAATATGTATTCTGTGCCACATTTGCTTCCAAACGCTGTGCGAATTGTTGCGCGATAACGAAGACAGTTCAAGTTGTGAGGAGCGCCAGCAGAGCACACAGCTTTCTGACCTCGCACAATAATCACTTGGCCTAGTCAGGACTATGGGAATCAAGGTTTGAGCCCATGTCATGAAGGCCAAAGAATCATCAGACATTAAAACCAGTCGGGTAAGGGTAGCTGTTTGGAAGGTACACGAGCGCTCTCCCAGCACAACCCAGGTTACTGAGATACTAAATCAGCTTACTGCCACAACATCCGCCTCCATGTGACAGCAGTGCCTGATTTTCGGCAGGATATTAACGAGATAAATCAGCGCTTTCACAGTAGAGCCAAATCGACCGCTCCTTCTGAAGGCGACAGACAAACATGAGAGCCATCCTAGAATACCAACGGAAAGAACGAAAAGAAAATACGTGACAATGCAATCTAAAGGCAGGATTTACTATGATAGGCCAAGTGGTTTAAAAACTCTGGCTAGCAATTGACTCGCATGTCAAATTGCCTGAAACATTAAATAATGTTTCGTCCTGAAGGCGTTTACCAGATGCCAATACATTGCCGTTGTAAACGACCTCCCACTTCGGAACCTCACTAACTCTTCACACGCATAAAGAAATCTTGAAGTATTTGGTTGCCGCTTTGCAACTTTCCTTTTGTACCTATCCAAATTGTGTTCATGGAAATGATTTCGTTACTTGGCAGAAAAAACCTATCATTCTCGTTCTTTTGTGTGCCACAGAGCTTTAAAACAAACGTAATGTGATTGAACAGCACCGAATCACCATCGCCACTACTGTTGTTTTTGTAGCTTGTACCTTACAGTTTGTACAGATTTGGACGGGATTTTGTTTTCACTTTCAGCTTTAATTTTGTGCGATACGTGCACGCTCCATCTGGACGGTCAAAGTAATATCACCCAGGTGCTGGTGATTGCTCCTGAAAATCAGCCGTCGGCAACCTTTTTGTGCTTGAATTTTCCACTTAAAAGAGACAGTTTACCAGACACTCATGGTACTTTGATTTGCTACAGTGTAAACATCGCTTTCAGCCTCAAAACGAACATATAGAACTTCACAGGAAACGACATGGCTTCCGCTATGACTTCTTCGAACGGAGGTAAGATTGTACCATTCTTATTGTAAACTTGAATTGTAGACGCAAAAAAGAGGCTCGTGAGCCTCATGAGCGCAGTGCTAAAGCCAAAAAGTTGCGCGGGATTAAGGCGAAATTGGCTAACCGCCAACGTTTCAAGGAGAAAGTTCAAATGAAGAAAACGTTAGTTGCTATTTTTATGAAACCACATGGTATACTTCAGACTACGCATGCACGAGCTGAAAAAGACGAATCAGAAGCTGGGTGAGGCTGGTGGACCAGGTGAGAAACCTGCCTATCTGCTGGACCGTGACGAACAAATTTCCGCCAAGGTTTTGTCAAATACGGTGAAGCAGAAGCGTGCTGAGAAGGCCGTAAGTTTGATTAGGGTGCTCCGATTTTTTTCACTGTTCAGCGTGGAGTATCTGTACAGCCTCCAAGCTTGCATGTTTTTTGTTATACCTTTTCATGATGTTCCACGCGGTCATGGTCCGCTGCAACGAGACTAAACGCCTGGTGGTCTGGCGGCTTTTGTACCCACTAAGCTCCATCGGGGTTTCGTTTCGACACCCGCAGAGCCTCTCATACCAGTTGTGTCAGTGGATGGAGGTCCAACCAATACGGTATCGTGGTTCTCCATGCTTCTGGTTGGGACCTTTTTATAAAACACCGCTGCCTTATGGTCAGGTTTCTTAATCAGAGGCTTTGGTTGACTGTACTGACCGTCTTTTTGCCTTGATGTACAACCGTGTGTACCACAAGTGAAAATACTCCCGTGCAAGATCTGCCGTTTCTTAGTATCATCAGCCTGGTCACTTTACTTGGTGCATGTACCTGGTCAGGTGAGCGAAAATATACTACTGCTGAGTCCTCCATTCTTTTTCTTTTAAGTGCTTTTTATTCCCCTCTCCCTAATACTCAATAATAAAATTCATTATAAACCCATCTGTTAGGACTGACATCGGTCTTGGTTACAACATCTACGGATCAGCCGGCGCCGACAGCCTCAGGCTTTTGGAAATCAGCCTTCAAGCCTTAACGCCCAGTCTATGCGGCTGCTTTTATGTTCTCACTCTGAAATAGGCAGGATAAAAGGCCACTCTTACTCGCACACTGGATTCACTTGAATCTAAGAAACAAGACTCCAAGATCCAAACAGTCATTAAGTTAACTATCACACACCACTCTTTTCCGGCTGCGCAGCTCTGGTAATCCTGAGGCCACTGCGGCAAGATGTACAGTGGCCCGCATTATCTTAGGTCACCGGGCGGAAGCATCCTTGCTTTGCACCTCCCGATAGTCGCCTGTGGGAGGTTCATCTAGCAACGTCTGTGAAGCAGTCTCATAAGCGTGAATCATCTGACACTCTATATGGAGATCGGCTTTAATTAGACTCGGTTCGCGAAGACAACAACAAACGACTAGTTCAACTGTTTGATGAATGCAGACGTTTTTCTTTCAGTACTCACCTCCAAAATAACCAGAGTCATCTGGCTACATGTTGTCTTCCAACAGCGCACCATTCACGGATCCAAACTGATTGCATCGCAATCGGTTCTTGATGTCGCGGATTGATAACTAACTGTCGCTCGTTTTGGAACATATTTGTGGATTTGACAACGCGTTTGTCCGGTCTCGCTTTTCCCTTCGTTTTTCAGGACCACATAAGGGGCATTAGCAACTGAGAGACTAGCAGATTCGGATTAGACTTATATATCAGAGCCGTCTGCTAGACTCGTTCAACTGCTCCACCGTCGGATGTGAGATCGTGCTGGAGCGAAATCTCTACGTCTTTGCACACTGCTAAGGGTTTCGCCTGTGGTACAGCGTTATCCGGCTCGCTCAAGTACTGATGTCAGACAGGACAGTAGAACCATTTGAATCTTGGTGAAAAGCTCTCACCGAACCCGGACATAATTTGGCCCTACGAACTATCAGCTGTTAAGTGAAAGCGAGCCTGTGCACCGGACGTGTTGCCTGATGCACACGAAAATATAGGGATCCAGAGGAGACCAGAAAGCTCGAAATGCGTGAAGATCATTTCAGTTTATCCGTGTGACCGCCCCGCCGGAAACAACGCGTGAGCGAACCCATCAAGGACCTTCTTGAATAAAGGCCGCCTCGACCGCTGGACCAAGCACTTTGAGCAACATTTCTCTTTGTCACCCGCAACCACTCATTTGAATCCTGCAGTTGAAGTGGAACCCTGGACGGTAAACGTTCAATCCCTTACGACATCGGAGGTTTATCACCGCATATATTGATCGTTCAGCTGTAACATCAGGTACCTAGCTGCCATGGCACTCGAAGGAAACACGAGGGCTGGGATATTGCCAGGTTGCCCAAGCCAAGACGGGAAGTTGAGATGCAGAGGGGTTCGAACCACGAATCATCTGATGAGTACATTCCCGCTCTAATCACTTGAGCCAGCTTGCCCATTCTCAAACAATGATGGTGGGAGGTATTCCGAACCAGGATTTCAGTGGCGCTTGAGATAAGCATATGTTATCCTTCAGGCTCCACGAGCCCTTGATCCGGAATACCTTCTAACCGCATCGTTCGAGAATGGGGTTGCAGTCCTCTGTCTGTGTTTGTCTGATCGGTTTGCTTAAATCTGGGAAGAAAAGGCTGTCTCAGACAACTAGAGAGAACCAGCAGTGGTGTTTATTTTCAAAAAAGGAGCTCGTAGTTAGTGCGGTATTCACACGCAGGGTGATCTTGATTGCGGTCGTAACGAGATTTTTGGCGTCATTCTCCTTGGTCGCTTCATGGCGGTCCATAAAACAGTGACTCCACAGTAACGAGCGAAATTCCGGTGCTGACGAGGTGTTTAAACAATGTCATACGAATAAACGATATATAATTCTAGTATTACCAGTTTCCCAAAGCGCACTCGACTCAATTGACCGGTCTGTTATTGACACAACTGCTCGGCAAGTAATGCCCCGGAGGTTTGTGAAAATTAGTGGTCCTCTATATTCTCAGACCTCCAGGAGTGTGTAAGTACGTGGAGATCACTTCAAAAGACTTCATGCATACAATCAAGTTCGCATTCGGTCCAATTTCTCCATGTCTTATTTAATGATTGTGATGGGCTAGGCTCTCCCCCTACCTTTCTTTATTTTTTCTTCACAATAAGGCCTTCAAATAAATTGTGGTTGTACGGCAGCGAAACGCCAGTGTTGAACTTTGACCTTGTGCTGCCGATGATAACAACAATTTAAATGACTTCATCCACGTTGTCTTCACACTTCCGACTGCGTACCCCCGGTGACGCGCAGGCCGCTGCAGTTTGGTATGCTCGGGTGGATATTGTGTTGGCCCATCGAGTGGAGGTGTTTCTGATTGACTGCTTGGCATAGCTGACATGGTTAATTTGGTAACATATGCGCAGATATCTCGAGTGCGAGAGTACCGCCACTCCCAGTTTACTGTATTTGCTTAGCCCACAACGACCTGTGAATTTGGACCTGTCTAAGATGATTCCTATAACGCTCTAGATGTTCTTCTACAACATGCTAAAAGATCAGAAATTGTTGTGGCTGATGATGATACTAATTCTCAGGTAGGTATGCTAGGCGCTGCTGAAGTTCAGTTGGATGGTTATCTTGGGTTGGACACGAGACGCATGGTTAACGGAGAGCGCTCGCTCAAGATGTGCGCAGGTGGCCATCCGCTTCCTTTAATCGCTAAATATCCCCGGTGTGAAACTCCGACCCCAAGAAGCGGACTTTCTGACTTCTTCACCTTTCGTTCACGACTAACCCCTATTCCACCAGCCTTCTATACGCCAATACTATTTGTATTCGTTCTCTCTATCTTTTTGCTTTCTAGGGAAAATGGGAAGTTCCTATTCCAAAAGTTCGTAGCATCTCCGAAGCTGAAGCTTTCAAAGTTGTCCGAACAGGAAAGTCCAAACGAAAAGCATGGAAACGCATGGTCACAAAAATGTGCTTCGTCGGGGATACGTTCACCAGAAAGCCGCCCAAGTTCGAACGCTTCATTCGACCAATGGGTCTGCGGGTTCGTAAGGCAAATGTTACGCATCCGGAATTGAAGACCACCTTCCAGTTGCCTATTATCGGTGTTAAGAAGAACCCTAGCTCCCCCATGTACACCAGTCTGGGTGTGATAACGAAGGGAACGATTATTGAGGTGAGACGACCGTTAGATTGTCTAAGAATTCCGGTAACCTGAGAGAAGGAAAGAGCCCCAAAAGTTTTCGTTTTGGTACTTATAGGCGACTCCCACTTATAGGCGTTTCGCACAGATTTGTCACCCAGTTGTGACACTTTTTTGGTGCCCATTTGCCATGCCACCCGAAGGAAGCACGAGGTTGCCCATACCTAGACAGGAACAGTCCAGATACCGGTTTCGAACCATGGACATCCCTGTCAATGAGTTCGCCCCTTAACCACAGCTCTCCAGCTCATTGCAGGTTTCAAAATCAATTCAGTATTGGTTGGCATCCCAGGACCAATTTTACACTGACTAACTATTTCGACTACCGCATAGGGAACTTGCGAGTTTCCGTATGAGTCCAAATGTGAATGATTGTAACCTGTAATAATACGGTGTGTATAATGTATAATGTAACCTCTTTTCTTTATGTCTGTCGATCAAGCAAGGCAACAAGTGACCTTTATGAAAGGCCTACTCTTTACTCTTTTCTCTTTCCACCCTCTTTTCTGATCATCAGGTTAACGTGAGTGATCTCGGTTTGGTCACTCCAGGCGGGAAAGTGGTTTGGGGCAAGTATGCACAGGTGACGAACAACCCGGAAAACGAGGGCTGTGTGAATGCTGTGTTGATTGTATGAAACCGCCAGTTACAGTGGCCGAAACGTGTAAATACATATCTTGCTATGTCTTCGGATACACCAGCCTTTTTATTACTCTTCGGTAGGGTTTCATGGGGTCTCTCATGATCTCTACGGTGCACATAAGTCGGGAACCCTTTCATAGAATGCTTAGTTGATATGGGGTTGGCTTTCGGATTCAGTGCACTGTACTGATAGAGAGATAAAGATAATTCGTCTACATGTTCTGATCTGCGGTTTGTTCAGGGAGCCTTTTCTGGGAATATTTCATTTCATACTCTCATAGCAGTGTGAGAGTGGTGTGTGTGGTTACAGGTAGCGTTGAGTCATCAGCGGGAACAGTTTAAACATTGAAGGAAATTAATGTGTGAAACCGGTTCCTGACAAAATAGGAATGTTTGCCTCTTTAGTGTTCATTTGAATTGACTAGTAAAATTGGTCTATTCTGGGTCAAGTAGAAGCAAAGATGGAGTGAGTGGCCTGCTCGCTGAGCTTGGAGTTGGTTTGCGAAAGAGGAAATATCATAGTGGTGGCTGCTCTCCCCTCTCCTGCAGCTAACGTTGATTCCAGCTCTTGGGCTGCTTCTCGGTCCTTTGCCCCCTCATTTTGTGTTCGAATGGTTGATTGAACGCCTTGCTCCTTTTCTGTAGTCTTTATTCATTGTTTGAAGTCAATATTATAGAACAAGACTCCTGGGGAAAGGGAGAACGCCAGTTGCTGTGAAGTTGTTTATTAAAAAACACGAACTGAGCGGCTGCTAGCCAGTAGAAAAGAAACCAATTGTCTCATATGCACAGAGTTCTTGAAAGGTGAACATTCTCAGTGTTCCTCTTGAACTTTTCTGGGCGTCCTTTGAAGATTAAACCAATAATGAGCAAACACTGCAGTATGGTTCCGTAATTTTCCTAGTATTCTTCACCTTCCGTCAGATACGGGGCCCGAATTTGGATACCGGACGAGAAACTACTTACGTGATTCATCAGCAGTATGCGCCGCTTCACTGATATTCGAAACAGGTGTGTGCGTGGCTGATCTACCTGAACTGCCGTTCGACTCTCCTGTGGTTGCTTTTATTGCTCCCCTCGTAGTTGGTTTCTTCGCTGTATTGTCCGTGCTGTATCGCCCATGTTCAAAACTACGTCCGGAACTATCTCATCCAGATCTCCCCAGATTGGCTGAGCACCAGCTGAACAGCAGTCTAAACATGTTATATCTGCTGATTCGCCAGTCTGAGGTATCTGCTGCCGACCCGCTCTAGTGCCTAGTGCCGGAGAAAGGAGACTCACAGAAGGGAACACAACAGCCATATTCCGAACAAGCGAGTGTGAAGGCGTGCGAGTGCGAAAAGTACAACGATCTCAAGCTATTTATGGGAAGGACACTGTCTGAACTTAGTCCAATGCTGACGCACACGGTCTGGTTTTGGCACGAGGCTGTGACGTGCTGCATACTGCGGGGGCGTTATCTTACCTTGATCAACGCTGACTTGCGCTGTCTGGGTTTGATACAAACATGTGACGCGTTGCATGTTGAAGGGGTGTTGTCTGTCTGGTCAACATCTAGCGGATCTGCGAGTCTCGCTAGATTTCGGCCATTCTGTGGTTGCTTTCAGGAAGCTGACCTTCCTGATACAACATGTTTGCCGACGGCCTCATTCCACGCACATGGTGGATCTTATGCAACAAAATATTGCCCAACAGTCAGCAGTTCGGTGCTCTGACTGGACAGCTGTCAAACGAAGCAGCTCCAAGCGTCCATTCCCCAGCATCGTTTTCGTATAAGCTGCGACTTCAGCTGCGCACCCCTTGAATACTTGAATTTTGAAACCTTGTTACAGACTATGGAACTGAATTGGGCGATGCGTCCCTAGTCCGAATAAGCACCGGATGTTTTGTAACTTCGTCCTTCCGAAAAATTCCAGCAACTTCACTGACGGAAGGCACAATTGTCCCTTCTCCGTCAATGCCAGTATTACCCAGGTGCGTCTCTTCTCACGCTCTAGACCACTTACTGACACACCTCGCATCAATCAAAAGAGGAGAAACAGAATATCGCTCCTACACTTTCAAGCGGAAAGACAGTGCAATGTCCGTGTGTCCAGTTGGCCTACGCCGTCATTTGACTTTTTTAATGGTCACTTTTGCTGTGCGTTCATACTGTCCCCCACCTGACGGTCTTTGTTGTCACTTCTTTCGCCATTCTGTTTTACGTGCTGCATCGCTTGTGTTCAAAAGTACATCCAGTATATAACTAATACCACCTCACCTGGGCCTTTTTCCTAGCTAGGCAACAGTTCAACGCCAGTTACTACAGGAATATCCTTCATTAGGACAGAAGGGAAAACATTTTTTGGTTGTCCAAAAGGTCGAATTACTCATAAGTGTAATAAAACGCAATGCAAATGCCCTACTCCATCGATCTAGACTTCTTAGATGACTGCCCTTCCAAAGTAAGCTGATGCAAAGCTTTGCATAACTTATTTTCGGGTGATCCAACAGTCCACCACTTGTCGGAACACTTCACAGTTGAGATACTGATTGAAGATGGCACATTTGAAAGACGCTATGAGGCGGTGCACAATAACTCAGTGTTTCTCGATTCGTTGTTATGTAAGAATGCTAAGTAGTTTTGTTTCTGTTTGGCTATTATCATAGGTCAGCTATAGCGCTTTTTCGGTACTTGACCGTCATACCACCCGAAGAAAGCACGAGGGTTGAGATACTGCCAGGTTTCCCAAGCATAGACGGGAGCAGTCGAGATGCAAAGGTTGGGTTCGAACCATGGACCTTCTGGTGAGTAAGTTCACGAGTTAACCATTGAGCCACCTCGAGCTCCTACTGGCTCCCTGTGACCTATATGACATTACACACCATCACCATGTTGTGCTATCGTGTGTGTGTGTATGTGTGTGTGAACGAGGTCTGTTCTAGTTCCCTGACAAATAAGACTAGCTTACGTACATTTATCCCATGCTGAAGAGGCTATTTCAGATGAAGGCCACCGTCAGAAAGACAATTTTGACCGATTCTCATTGTGGAGTTCACTTAATTTTTGGTCGTTCCTTTGGGACAGTCTGTTTAGGCAGAAAAAGGACGACTTCCCCAAACAGCCTAGGGACTAGGACGGCAGCTGACTGTTTGAATAAAACTGGCACAACTATCGCCATTTCATTCAGTTTTCATAGAGTAGACTGCTCAAAAGGTTGCTGAAGACTCTTCGACAGTCCACGACCGGTTTCTCCATTCTTGGGGCTCAGCAGGTAGACGCGATCTCCTAGTTTCCATCAGTCGAGTCTCCTGTGAAGACCGAATCGAGTCGCAGATGAATTTTTTTGTCGAAATCATTCCACTTAGTGTTCAAGTAGAACATAAAGTTGACGGAAACTTGGGGACTGTGCCGACTCGATGATTCCGAAGAAGGGTGAAGCCGGTCGTGGGCTGTCGAACAGTTTTCAGCGACTTTGTGAATAGTTTCTCGCATGAAAATATACCCCGATATCTCGAATATCGTGCCAACTGAAACATGAGGCGACCCAGTCCAGTGTAGTCATTTGAAGAATATCATAAACGGAATTCACTTTATTCTCCCCTGCAAACCAAATCAATTTGCAAGTGAGTGTATTTGTCGATTTCGCTCAGTTGGTCACGTGACAAACGATTCATTTATTAACGTCCGAATACTAGTTGTTACTAACACGCCGTGCTGTGGATTCCTAAGAAGGAGGGATCAACTGCCTCCGATTCTTCGATTTCCATAATGGTGTTGATAAGGTCCAGACAGGCCATTCGATGTCTGTTGTCCAATCGAAGATGACCTGTGGAAAAAGTAGATAGAGAATAAGCTATTCCACTTGACCTGGGTCAAGTCTAGAAAGTAAGATAAACAAACAAGCTGTACCTGTTGAAACTAAACCTTAATCACTGCATGACATTCCAACCAAGGCGAGCAGCTTAGGAGACGAAACTCATTATTACAAATTTACACCTCAACTGTTTTGAGCGCTGAATTTTGTCAACAGTACTAAGTGAGAGAAAGAGAAAGAGCGTTCAGCTGTAACGCCTTGTCGGTGCCTAGCTGCCATGCCACGCGAAGGAAGCACTAGGACTGGGATACTGCCAGGTTGCCCAAGCCTAGACAGGGGAAGTCGAAAGGCGGATGTCAGATTCGAACCACGGACCTTCCGGTCAGTAAATTCGCGCTCTAACCACTTGGGCCATCTCGCCCGAGGACAGAGATTCAGTGGAAACAGCCGGGAGAGGAGGCGATCGAGCTTACTAAATTACACACTTAGGAACGTGCGTCCTTTCGTATATTGGGACCATTAGGAGGCACGAGGTCCTAGATACCGCCAGGTAACCTAAGCCTAGACAGAAATAGTCAAGATGCTGATGTTGGTTTAGGAACAGATCTTACGGTTGGAACCTTAATGAATGAGCTATTTTGGCCTGTCATCAACGGTGGCAGGACATAACCGGTATGCTATATCCCCGTAACAAACCTGTGTGTTGTGATTCTTGTGTATTGTAAACAGTTATTCGCTGCACAATGAATCTCCCATGGCTAACTGTTCAAATTCCTTCAAAGATGCAACCTCTCAGACACGTGTCATTTCACATCTCACATGCACTACATTTTTGATGTTATCATTCTTGTTAGATATGGAACTAGTATTGATGGGCGCTCATTACAGAGTGGTACATCCGTTGTGCTTCATTAGGGAGCATCTCTTTGCGGACAAAGAGGAACAACAGTCAAACCTGCAATGCAGTTTGGGGTGTAAGCGTATTACTACAAATCGAGGCCGACCTGGTAAGCAAAAAGGCTTTCCTCTTACAGAAGGACCACTTTACTAAGCTGAGAGATAAATGGTCTTCCATGAGAAGGAATTCATCATCGGATTACCCATCATCGAATCAGCTGAAGGTTGTATTTTTTTAGGACTACGCTCCACCAAGAAGGGCCTCTCAAGAGAAAGTAGTTGTAACTATCTTCGATAGTCCTGAGGAAGAATTAAGTAACTGGAAGAATGTACTTTACTATGCTGGTAGGTCGTGGAATTTACATTCACATTACTCTTGTCTGAACAGTCCTCCTAGTGCTTTAGTGTAGTCATCCCGACGGATTCTTAGCAAACAGCGATTCCAATGGACTCAAGTTGTGTTCGTAGCAGCGCTCACCAACAGCCTGTATCCTGGGCAGTGTGAAGATTTGAACCCCGAATATCTGACATCCGAGGCGGGTGTGTTATCTCCATTCCACTTGAGCACACTGGATGGACCTATAACATAACGTCTGGAAAGGTAAACCTGTTCATGCTTCAGCAACGTGTTTGGTTGTTCCAGAACCCCAAAAACAAGGACCTAGCAATTTTTCCGTTTGTTTTGGTTGCTGACCCGGTTATCTCAGACAAGTAGCGTCACAGACGCTTGAAGCCTGCTTTTGATTGGGTGTAGTTAGTTGTGGGATGTGTGAAATTTAAGTTTAAATTTGATTCATACTAGATTAGCCTACACTCCACCAGCAGACGATATCCATATCGTACTTGTCTATATATATATATGTATATATAT